GAGTGAGTTTGAGTTACAGAAAAATTAGGAGGCAGCAGCCATGTCAACAGCTTGTAAGTTGTTCAATGTTGGCATTACTATGCCAGCCTGGCATGCTCCTGGTAGCTTCTAAGGAGCCAGGATTGACTGGGCTCCTGACAGTCTGTTTTAAAATGGTCAATACCTCAGAATATTTATTTATTTGTGCAACAGTTTTACTGTACCAGTTTCTAATCTGGGAGCCTCAGTGCCCTTTACTGCCTGCAAGCATCTCTTTCTTCAGAATGATGTTGTATGTTAATAGAATTTTTATGTTACTATGCTACAGTCTATTGCCTGGTAAATGAAATGGTAGAAGAGTTGTAGCTACTTTATAAATTATGTGAAGAATGGAAAGAAAGTAGACATATGAGTATCATGAACTGCCTACATGAAAGAATAATTTTAAGACTGAAAAATTGCTTATGAAAAAAACAAAAAAAAACACCCCAAGAAATTATGATTAAGCACTACAACTAAAGGATCTATGCACGGGAAGTCTACTGTTAAAATACAATTAAATTAAAACAGAGAAATTGCAAATGTTTTCAGATTGGTTTAAAGCCTTAGTTGCAAACCTGTGATGCCTCTGAATTCGGGAAGAATAAACGACTTTGGCTTTTTGATTACTGAGTATTGATGTCATTTAATAGGAACCCAATAGCACTTTAGTCTGCTTGTGTGGCAAACGTCTGAACAGGATGAGCAGAAAGGCAATATCATCCAGAGCTTGTGGAGAATCTCTTTGTTTAAATACATTTTTAGGTTGGTCAGTGGCTAGTTACCATCATGTTTTTCATATTTGTTTGTGCATGTAATCTTACAAATGGAATCTGTAAAGTGGTTTGTATTTGCTTTTTTTTGTTTAGTGGCTGTACTCATAATTGATGAGAAAGAATATAAAATTATATCCAGACTACAATTTATGTGAGGTAGCTTGGCTTTTGCATTGGTAAATGTTTTTCCATTCACACTACATGTCAGCTTTAGAGTGCTTTAGTATTTTATTGATAATAGACAAAAACCCTACTTGAAGTGAGTGTGTAAGGAAAGATACAGAATTACTGAGTAGAAACAGCCTCTTGAGTCCATCTAGTGCAACCCCTCCTGCTCAAGCAGGTGTAGCTACAGCAGGTTTCCTAGGACTGTGCCCAGCTGGGTTTTGTGTATTTCCATTGCTGCTCTGAAAAACATGTCCTAGTGTCTGACTAGGACAGTTTTTACCCTCACTATAAAAAGTCTTTGCCTTGTTCAGGAAAATTTGCCCATTGCCTCTTGTCCTGTCGGTGGGTGCTACTGAGAAGGATCTGGCTTCCTCTTGCTCACTCCCATTGGGTGTTTATATACATTTCAAAGATTCCTTTGAGCTTCTCTTGTTTAGGCTGAAGAGTCTCACCTGTCTTGTTCTGTCATTGTGTGTCAGATGCTCCAGTCCCTTAATCATCTTTGTGGCTCTGTGCTAGTAGCTCCAGTAAGTCTGTATCTGTCTTGTACTGGGAAACTCAGAACTTGACACAGAACTCCAGATGTGGCCCACTAGTGCTGAGTAGAGCAGATGAATCAACTCCCCAGCCTGCTGGTGAAACTATTCCTAAGGCATCACAAAATACTGTTGGCCTCCTTGGCTACAAGGATGAGTGCTTTTTTGTGTCTTGTTTAAGTGCTCCCTAACTTCCTCCACTAAGAGTAATTCTCCTTCTAGGACAAGGTGACCTGTTTAGTGGATGAAGGAAAGGCTGTGGAGGTTTACCTGGACTTTGGTAAAGCCTTTGATACTGTTTCCCACAGCATTCTCCTGGAGAAACAGGTTACACATGGCCTAATCCAGTGTACTTTTCACTGGGTAAAAAGAATTGCTGGATGGCCAAGCCCAACGAACTGTGTTAGATGGAGTTAAATCCAGTTGGTGGCTAGTCACAAGTGGTGTTCCTCGGGGTCAGTGCTGTGGCCACTTGTCTTTAATATCTTTATCAATGATCTGGATGAGGGCATCAAGTGCACCCTCAGTAAGTGTGCAGATGACACCAAGTTGGGAGGGAATGTTGATCTGCTTGAGGGCAGGAAAGCTCTACAGAGGGATCTGGACAGGCTGGATAGATGGGCCAAGGCCAATTGCATAAGGTTTGACAAGGCCAAGTGCCAGGTCCTGCATTTTGGTCACCACAACCCCATGCAATGCTACAGGCTTGGGGAAGAGTGGCTGGAAAGCTGCCCAGAGGGAACAGGACCTGGGGGTGTTGGTTGAGAGTTGTCTGAAAATGAGCCACCGGTGTGCTCAGGTGGCCAAGAAGGCTAAATAGAATCCTGGCTTGTATCAGAAATAGCAAAACTAGGGAAGGGATTGTCCCCCCCATACTTGGCACTGGTGAGGCCCCACCTTGAGAACTATGTTCAGTTTTGGGCCCCTAACTGCAATAAAGACTGCAATAAAGAAGAGGAACTTTATGTTCCTCATAAAGTCTTATGAGGAACATTTGAGGGAACCGAGATTGTTTAGTCTGGAGAGAAGGAGGCTGAGGGGAGACCTTATTTCTCTCTATGACTACCTGAAAGGAGGCTGTAGTAAGATGGGAGTTGGTCTCTTCTTCCTAGTAAAAAGCAACAGGACACGAGGAAATGGTCTCAAGTTTCACCAGAGGAGGTTTAGATTAGATATTAGAAGAAAATTCTTCACCAAAAGGGTTATCAAACATTGAAGCAGGCTCCCAGGGTGGTGGTTGAATCAGCATTCCTGGAGGTATTCAAAAGACATGTAGATGTGTTGCTTAGGAGTATGGTTTAGCACTGGACTTGGTAGAGTTAGGTTAATAGTTGGACTCTGATCTTAAAGGTCTTTTCCAACAAGTATGATTCTGTGATTCTGCAAGGTCTTTCTTGCTGCAGGCTTTCCCTCTAGTATCAGGGATCTCCAGCTCCTGAGGGCCATCTTTCCTGGTAAATACTGAGGCAAAGAAGGCATTAAATACTTCTGTTTTCTCCACGTCCTTTGTCACCACCTTCTCTGCCCAACTCAGCAGTAGGCCCACATCTTCTCTGGTCTTCTTTCTGTGGCTGAGTTGTTTGCATAATGCTTTCTGATTGCTTTTCATGTTTTTTTCATAATTCAGCTCCAGATCAGCCTTGTCTTTCCTAGCCATGTACTTGCACGATCATACGGCAGCTCCAAACTCCTTGGTCACTTGTCTCTGCTTTCACCTCTTGCACACTTTCATCTTGTTGTCAAAACAAGTTGGACAAAGATAATATGATCTTGCTGTTTAAAGGTCCACATGTAATGCATAATTTATTTATATTACACATAATGGAAAATACATAAACATTAAAAAAAAACACATAAATGCATAGCTAGAGATTCTTTTAACGTTCATCCATTATCATATTTTGAGAATGAAGATGTTTGGGAGGTAAGAGCTAAGTAACATTTGTCAGGCACCTGCAAAACAATCTGAGATCTTATGTTTGGTTAAGTCTTGGACATCAATCAGGTGTGCAAAAAGGGGACATGAAGACACTAGAAGAGATGTGATTTAGGAATGTTTAGCTTAAAAAAATAATTCCAAAATCAGTGAAAAGAAGATCAGGTTGTTAAAATACTTGCTGATATAAATTGCTTAGATTAGCAGCTCAGATTAAAATGTGAACACCTATGGGAAGAGACCAAGAACTTTTTATTTGCTTTTCCATGTTAAAGAAGGCTAGAAAAACTGCAAAGGAGGTTGGTAAGGTAAAAGCATTAAAACATTGTCGTGGTTTGGGCCCAGCACAACAAAGGAACAGCCCCATGGCCACTCACTCAACTTCCCCCCCCACACTCACTCTGGGATGAGGAGGACAAAGCTCCTGGGTTGACACAAAGGACAAGGAGGCTTCTTCACCGATTAAGGTCCTGGGCAAAACAGACTCAACTTGGGGAAAAATAATAATAATTTAATTTCACACTAATCACACACACACCTAGGACACAGACAACACACAGAGCAGGGCTTGCATATGTTACCCCACCCCTCCCTTCTTCCCGGGCCCAAATCCCTTTGTTCCCGGTTTCTCTTTCTCTTTCCCCCCAGCAGCACAGGGGGCAGGGGATGGGGTTTAGAGTCAGTTCACAGGCTGGTGGTTCCTGCTGCTCCTTCCTCCTCAGGAAGAAGGATTCCTTATGGTCCTTCCCTGCTTCCCCACGAGGTCCCTCCCATGGCAGAGAGTCCTCCACGAACCTCTCCTTCCTGAGTCCTTCCCACCAGGCCCGGAGCTGCTCCAGCCTGGGCTTCCCACAGAGTCACGGGGGCTTCGGGAACAGCCACCTCCCCTGGCCCGGGGTCTTCCGAAGCTGTGTAATCAGAGTCCACTGGCAGCAAATCCTCTGGCCACAAAATCCAAGTCCAGTGACCAAATTCACCCCTCCTTGCACCTTCAGGGAATGTTCCACCATGTTCCTCTACGAGTGCAGGGGCACAGCTGCCATCTCGCCATGGGTTGCAGAGAGACTTCTGCTTGGGCACCTTCTTCCTCACCAACCACCAACACTGCTGTCCTCCTGCACAGCTCTTCTGCCCCTCTCCTAGCTCTGATCAGGTGTTACTTCAGGTCTTTCGTATGTCAATCGCTGAGGAGCATCTGTTGTCCCTCTAATGGATCTTTGGCTGGGTTGGGAGCAGGGGGAGCTTCTCAGATGCTT